AAACACAAGGTGTAACATAACATGAAAACTGCCATCTTTGATAAGAATCATAGAACCCTTAGGGTTGGAAGGGACATCTGAAGGCCATTTAGTCTAATTCCCTACAGTGAACAGGGACACCACAGCTACATCAGGTTGCCCAGGGCATGATCCAGCCTCATCCTGAAAGTCTCCAGAGATGGGGCATCAATCACATCTCTGAGCAACCTGTTCCAGTCCCTCATCATCCTCACTGAAAAAGATTTCTTCCTTATATACAGCCTAAACCTCCCCTCTTTAAGCTTGAAGCCATCTCCTCTTGTTCTATCACCACACACCCTGCTAAAGACTCTGTCCCCTTCTTTTCTGCATTAAACACTGAAAGGCTGCTATCAGGTCACCTCAGAGCTTCGTGTTCTCCAGGCTGAACAGCCCCAGCTCTCTCTCGGCCTGTCAAGCATCTGAATGACTCTGCATAAATTCAATCTGATCTTTTGAAGTTACACGTGCAGCTGATCTCGTACCAAACTTGTTCAGCTCAATGGGCACCCAAGACTCTCCTGTTTTGTAGACACGTGACTGAATTAGCCTGCTGGTAATCACTACTGGATTTCTCCTTCACAGTTCAACTGGTAAGGCAAAAGAAAACATGATTTTTAAAGTGTACTAATAACATATCTATGAATTGAACATTTATACAAAGCAAGCTGAACTGTATCTTACAATACAAACAACGCACAGAAAACTCCTGTCCAATTGTTTACAGCAAATCAGTGATTTGTAAGTCTACATCCTTTCAACGCAGATTGGATCCCATCAAAATACAAAAGAAAACCTGGACTCTTGAGCCAACAGACCTTCAGTGACATTATTTTCATAGCATTTCTAGGGCCTGCTTCATCCACACTATTAGTACTGAGAAATGTGAGGGAATATAGAATGGCCTGGATTGAAAAGGACCACAATGATCATAGTTTCAACCCCCTGCTACGTGCATGGTCACCAACCAGCAGACCAGGCTGCCCAGATCCACATCCAGCCTGGCCTTCAATGCCTCCAGGGATGGGGCATCCACAGCCTCCTTGGGCAACCTGTTCCAGTGCCTCACCACCCTCTGTGTGAAAAACTTCCTCCTAATATCTAGCCTAAACCGTACCATGAAGCCAATGATTTTCAAGGATAGCCACAACCCATAAGACTTATTCCAGAAAATCTATAGTATCTAGACTTCAACTGCCAAAACTGTGGTCACTGCACATATCCTGTGGGCACACACAACCACAACGATGGGGGGGAGATTGAGAAGTATTGTGAAAGAGAAGTGTGCTGTAGGGATTTAGGTTTTAGGCAATTAATAGTACTATTGTTTTGAAAGTCCAAGCACTTTTTACAGATGCACAACTGTTACAACAAGTTAGCCTTAGAGTAAAAAAGGAAGGAGACCTCTGAAACGACGCTAGCATTTATCTTATAAACAACATTTGAAAAAGGAAACTGCAAAATCCAACGCATGCAAGTTTAGTATATTTCATAAGAAAAAAAATAAACTGAGTATTACCATTTCACCTAACTTTTCTGCATCAGAACACATCTTTGGCAACAGAAATAAAAGGAAGAATAGAATACATTCTTCTTTTTCTGGTGAACTGGCAGGATCTCTCTGTTCACTCCTCCCCAAACACAAGTATTTTTATGGGTGGTCACATTCTATACTGGTCAAAATGTCGTACTGATACTCCAAAATACATTGACAAACTCCAGTTTCAATTACAAAAAAGCCTTTAAGATCAGAAACTAATCTCTCCTACACAAATGGTGCCTGCTCTGCCAAGAACGCAACCACCTCTACCTCCTGCACACACTTGTAGCATTCCAGACAAACTGACTGTAGACAGGGGGATCAGCTCTGCATCCACATGCACCTTACCTTTTTTGCATAGAATCACAGAATGGCCTGGGTTGAAAAGGACCACAATGATCATCTAGTTTAACCCCCCTGCTGTGTGCAGGGCCACCAACCAGCAGACCAGGCTGCCCAGAGCCACATCCAGCCTGGCCTTGAATGCCTCCAGGGATGGGGCATCCACAGCCTCCTTGGGCAACCTGTTCCAGTGCCTCACCACCCTCTGTGTGAAAAACTTCCTCCTAACATCTAACCTAAACCTTCCCTGTCTCAGTTTAAGACCATGCCCCTTGTCCTATCACTATCCACCCTTGTAAACAGCCATTTTTGTTTTTGTATGAAGGATCAGAAAACAGTCAGGAATTCTAATTGCCAGTTGCAATATGTCACAACATACCTACAGCAACAATAACATTCAGAAATAATCAGTGGAATCTGGTATACTATTCTTTAATTTCAGAAAGAGTGCTCTTTAATGCAGGGCAACTACTTCTGGCATGTACCACACTGAAATTTTGGCACCTCACAGGAAAGTTTTATGCATACAAATAGTGTATCATTAGACCTCAGACTAGACCAAAGATCTAATTGTCTCCTCTACTAGCCAATTTCATGCTATGCAAGTAAAAACAAAACCAACTCTGGGAGTAGGGGCCATTTCAAGTTCAGCAGCTGCATTAAATACAATAGCAACAAGCATTCAATGTTCCTAGCCGACTACTCGGGTAGAAGCTATGCTGGCTTTATTTTAATGGTAAAAAAATTCTCATCTCTTTGGTTCCACGCAGATTAATTTCTGAGACATGTCAACCTGAAATGCATACTACAAACACATCTTCCCGCCTGAGATTTATTCTACTGCACCTATTACTACAAGCAACATAAGCACATGTTCAAGGCTGGTAACTCTCAATTATCATTTTTTTTCCCTCTCCTCAAACCATTGCCGACACTTTCATTTCAATTCTTTGTTTTTCATCCCATACTACAAACAGAAATTCTCATTTACCCTGGTGTTATCCTACCAAAAACTAAAATTACAATCTAAGGTTACAGCACAAAGGTACATCAGAAAAGGCTATTTGGCATCATCATTCACAATGATCTACTTGCTAGATTCGCATTCTTTCCTGAATCCAAATCTAACCTAATTGCATGATTAGAGGTATTAACAAAAGAGTACGCAGATTTCCCACCAGCTAACCACAGCAGCAATGGACAGAATAGGCGCTTAACCGTATCTTAGTTGTCATTCCACTGAACAGCGATATAAAGGAAAATTAAAGAAAAACAACACAACTCCTCTGAAAACCAACTTATCTTACTGTCTCCGGTTCCAGATATTACAGTGGGAGTACCAGGACTGAAAGGATTAAGTGTGGTTTGAGAAGCAAGTGCAAAGAGCAACCCGCTTGGCTCAGATGAAGTCTGAGCCTAACACACTGGAGAAACTGTTCAGAAACAGTTCATCTGTACGAAACATGACCCCTGTAAGGCTGCCAAAACCATTGAGGGCATACAAGTGCTAATCACGCGAGCTAAAATGGTCCAAGCTGATTGCCTAAATGTGGATGACCGCCTCGCCTAAATGTAAAGTTAATGAAAAGAAGGCAACTGTTCTCCTTACCAATAGGCAACCAGCACATCTAACCCCCACCACAGGCAAGTACAACTCCTGGCTGCTGCAGCTGGGAGCCTGAATATAACTGATATAAGGCTCCTCCTTCAATACCATACCCTCCTAATGGGGGCTTGGGAGAAGCAGAGTGCTCATTTCACAATGGAAAGAACTCAGCAATCAAAACTGCTGCGTTAGGAACTACACTGTATAAAAATGCCATCCAGTTGTATGCATTGAGGGAGGTTACAGGTGACTAGAAACAAAAGGAAGAAGAAAAGATTAGGACCGAGCATGCAATAACACTGCACAGCCCAACACTCTCCAGAGTCATCAACATGGACACCAAGAGTCTGTTTATTTGACTGAGGAGAAAATACACATATGTGGAGGTTTCCATTAAATATATTTTTTGTTAAAATACTTAACTATCACCTTAAGCATATATTGCCATACTAGGTATGAACAAGCAGCGTATCTTACAGCTATAGTGCAGGGTCAGAATGTCCTGATTTGGAAGGGATCCATAAAGACCACTGAATCAAACTCCAGACTCCACACAGCACCACCTAAAATCAAACCCTATGTCTGAAAGCACTGTCCAAACGTTCCTCAAACTCCTGCACATGGGGTTGTGCCCACTGCCCTTCACCTTTGGTGAAGAACCTTTTCCTGATATCCGACAGGGGAAAAAAGGGCAAGGGAAAACAGGCTGTTTCCCTGCCCTAAGAAGTACCACACCATCACGTATGGGATGCCACTTATTTTAAAAGGAAAAAGTATTCATTCAGCATCACTCTCTTACATCCACAGATGCGATTCCCTGCGATTCCCAGAGTTCACAACACCGCTTTCTATGACCCAAACCATCGTTCCTTCCCAAAATAACGGTGCGGTCAATTCAGAACAAAAAGGAAAACCTGTCCAGAAAGTTACCGACGCCCAACGAGAAACGGACAGACCGATCCCCGACGGCGCAGCACCGTCCTCCTCCCGCGGTCCCGCGCTCCCTCGGTGCCGTGCCTTCGCCGAGCCCAACTCCGTGCGCGCAGAGGGACGCTGCCCCTGCCCCCCCCCGGAGGCGCGATGGCTGCCGTGTGACTGAGCCGCGCACGCCAACCGGCACCGCATCGCTCCGCTTCCCCCCGCCCAGGCACGGCCGCAATAGAAAGAACAAATACAAAAAAAAACAAAACAAAAAAAAAACAAAACAAAACAAAAAAAAAAAAAAAAAAAAAACAAAAAAAAAAAAAGAAAAGAAAAGAGAGAGATAGAGATAAAGAGAGGCCAGCCCGAGGCCGGCGGGCAGCGGCCGCTCGGGGGGCTCCACGCACCGCGCTGGGGGCACGGAGGGCGGAGAGGGCAGCGAGGCGCGTGTCAGCCCGGCCGCAGCGGGCGGAGGCATTGGGGGCCGGGGGCGCCGCTGTCCCCACCGCGAGGGAGGGTGCGAGCGCCGGCGGCCGTCGGCCCGAAGCGAGGCGGTACCCCCTCAACCCGTACCTCATATCTGCGCAGGCCGCCGGGCCCCGCTCACACCCATGGCGACGGCGGGGGGGATGGAGGAGCCGGAGCGGCGCCCGCCACCGCCTCCGCCAGGCACACCATCCCCTCCCGCTGCCTCCTCAGCCGCCGTCTGGCGGGCGGCGAGGGGAGGAGCCCGCACCACGCTCGCCCTCCCAGCCGCCGTAGTGACGCGAAGCCGCGGCCCGCCGCTCAGCCCCGTGACGGGCAGGAGATCGCCGCCAATCAGAGGCTGCGAACTCCGCGGGGACTCCGCCTCCGCCGGCCAATCGGGTTCGCTCTCGCGCCCAGGGGGTCAGCGCGCGGCGAGGGGAGACGGGGGCGAGGGTGGCCGAGCCCGTTTCCCCCACTGCTCCAGTGAGACGCGCCCAAAAGGCGGGGAGAGGGGCGGGGCCGCGGCCGCGAGGAGGCGCGGCTTTGTGTTGCGGAATTAACTCAGCGCCTCTTCATTCTCCTTGCTGCTGGCTGGGTCGCGCAGGGCGCTGCGGCTCACCCCTTCTCCCCGCCAGAGGTGAGTGATGGTGCGCCTAGCCAATCCCGTTTCCGCTTTCACGCCGAGCGCCCAATCGCGAACCTGCTTGCTTCGGTGGGGTGGAGCGTGAGGGCGTGCCCCGCGCTCTCCGAAGGGCGCTGAGGTGGGAGCGCGGCGGAAGCAACGGTTCGTCATGGCAACGGCCGGGCGCGGGGCCCGAGCTGTCGGGCGCGGCCGTGTACTTAGGCCCTGAGCCTCGGGTGAGGCTGCCGACCCCGGGTCGGGCTCCGGCTTTGTGTAGGGGACTGCCGCGTGCAGAAATACCGAGGGAGATAGCAGGGGCGTTTGGCGGCCCGAGGGGCGGGCGGTACCCGGAGAAGGGCGCTCGGTGGTGCGGCTGCGGGTTGTGAGCGGGCGTTGGCGCGGCAGCCGCGTTGCTCTGCGCTACAGAAATGGCTGTGATGGGGCCGCTTGATGGGTGCCAACGTGAGGCCGGGCTGGCTCCCCCTCTGTCTGTGCTCTCCTTCCCCTCGAAACTTGAAGAAACCTGTTTTCAAAAAGATTCTTCTTCATTGCGAGCAGTGTATATCAGAGAGGAGAGCTAAAACCTGAGTTGTGATTCTTGTTGTGTGTGAGGTTCCTGGTGTTCCTGCAGCAGTTTTATTTCCCTTTGTGCTGTCTTTATCTGAGCTGCTCTAACTGCGTGCCTTTCAGCTGGGTGGCATGCTCCCCATCCACTGCTGGGCTAACACATCATCCATTGCCTTATGCAGTGCATCTCAGTCCCCAGCAGTTGCTACACTGTTGTCAACAACACTGATGTAATGCGTTGTAGGTAACAGCTGAGGCGCTGGCACAGCTGCCCAGAGAAGCTGTGGTGCCCCATCCCTGAAGGCGCTCAAGGCCAGGTTGGATGGGGCCCTGGGCAGCCTGAGCTGGTGGCGGGCAGCCCTGCCCACAGCAGGGGTTGGGGCAGCGTGGGCTTTGTGGCCCCTTCCAACCCAACTCAAGCCATTCTATGGTTCTGTGATTCTATCAAGCTTTATCTCTTTATCTGTTTTAAAATTTATTTGAGAGACTCATTGTGTCTCTGTTGCTTGCAAACAATTGCTATTCTGGTTAGAAATTAATGTAAAGCTTTAGTGGCTTATTTTCTCTGTACTTACTGCATGATTACAGTTACTGTGTCTTTTTTCCAGGTCACCATGAAGGCCTTGTATTGTCAGCAGAATTCATCCGGAGAGGAAATGACCTTTATTTTCCAGGAAAGAGTGAGTTCTAATCATAACAGCACAATTAATCATTCAGTGGAAGAAGGGAGTGAAACTAAAAAAAAAGAACTGGTGTTATCCTTGAGCAAGCAGGCAGGTAAATAAAGGTAGGAGATAAGCATTTTACCATCATGATGCAGCACTTAGCAAGGGCTGTGCTACATTTCTGCTTGCAGTTTGCTGTCTGCGTTTAAAAACAGCTTTTTTGCCTTGCTGCAAAGCTGGAGTTCATTTATTTTATGCTCCCTTCTCTTGAGTAGATTTTCTGGTCACTGAAAAAGTAGAAATGTAGCTTGAGAAATTTACCGTGTTCAAAGTGTCTCTGCTGTTAATTTTCTTTCTCTTAAGTTCTTTGCTCTTTTTGGGGACTGAAATCACAGTGCAGCCTTTCTCTTAGAAGCGTTGATAGGTCTCCTCTGTCTAGCTAACCTATCTTCCTGCAACTTGAAAGAACAAGGAGACTACCTACTACTTGTCTGTCAGACCTAGTTGAAACTGCTGTGCTGACCAGTCTTTGTCAGTTTGATGTAAGTATTAATTGAATAAGTATACATGGAAGTTGGTGGCATAAGACTAAAACAGGATTCTGGCACATGTGTATTGATGCAGTATGAGTGTTTGTAGAAAAAAGCTTACGTGGTTTTGAGGATGTGAACCCATGTTTTTTAAATGAATCTCTCACAGGCACAAAATAAATTGCTACAGATACCCATGTATATTTATGTCACATGGATAGCTAAGTATACCTATGAGCCATATGTCAAAATGAAACAATGTAGTTCTGATAAGAATCTTGCTTGAGTAGATGTAAATTCACAGTAACGAAGCATGTTTAATGAGTTGCTGGAAGAGAAGCATGCAATAAGATGGCTGATTATGATATAACAAGATGCATATTCAGTGAGCAATCTTAAATCCACTTACACTGATCATTAAATAGTGCTTTAGCTGAAAAGGTTTTTTCACCTCTCAGCAACACATCTTTTGTCTCTTCTTTTTAATGGCTCTAAGAGTTATGCAGTTATAAGGTGACGTATCAGCTTACTTACCCAGCTGAGAACTACTGATTTTTACAGATTAGTTTACATCTATGTGGTGGCTTCGTGATTACTGGCTCCAACACTGAAGAGAGAAGGGAGTAGACGTAGATGCTGCCAACAGGCAAACCCATCAGCTGTGGTATAGCCATAAGCAAGCTAAATTAGATCTTTAGACTGCAATCCCATATATATCAGTTTTCTGTCCGCTTGCTTATTTTAAGCTCTTCAGACAGGAGCTAATTCTGCAGATATTTGTACCATGAACAGTGCTGTGGAACCCTGATCCCAAATAAAAATAAATTTTGGATAAAATAAGAAGGAAAACCAGTTGACTGAGGAAATGTTAATGAAACAGCAGCTGGGTAATGAGAAAACAGTTGTTTAGATGAAGAATTTACATAGCAAAGTACCCTAAATGGTGCTTGGTCAAATTGTAATATTGACATATTTAAGTTACAAAGTCATTAACAAGTTAACAGCACAAACATTTCATTGTCTCTTCTTGTTCCCAAGGTTTGCATTCTTGTGATCTTTTCCTAAAGAAAAGCAATTTTACTCTGTGCATTGTAACAGTACTTTGGTTCACTGACTGATATGCACCATAGATACAATGCATCCAAAAGAAAATGTGATCTTGAATTTACATAAATTACGTAAATCCCTTAGATTCTAAGTGTTGAGGTTTTGTGTTGTTTTTGGGTTTTTTGTTTTTTTTTTTAATCAGAAATGCAGTACTCATGTAGTTCAGCAGTCTAATGGCTTGGCTGTTTTGTGGAACAAAGAATGAGAACCCACTTTGGTTTGTTTGAGGAGAAGGAGGTCAGTCTCACCGGCAAAATCCTTTCCAACTTTAAATGAACACCATGTGTTTAACTGAGCAGTGGTAAGGAGAAAGTGCAGCTCAATATTCCTCTTCCTGAAGTTCCCCTTCACCTTGCTAAGCCTTGGAGAAAGGCAGCAGCTGTTTGATGGGAATGATTTTTAAAAATAAATAAAGGGAAGCTTAAACGTTTAGAAAGACGTCCTGTAGAAACAAAGCTGTAACAGCTTTCTGGTACGTGTTTTGCTTTCAGTTCCAACAGAAGTTTACATCACAGACTGCAGTCTGTGATAGAAATAGATGATTTTGCCTTCAGTAATTTACGTCGCTTTTTAAAAACTGCACAAAGTCAGCAGCTCAGAACTCAGTGTATCTAATTAAATGTTTAAAATTAGCACTACTCAACTGCTTAAGATCGGTGCAGATCTCTCTGCCAAAAACCAAAAGTTGGGATAATCAAGGCGGTTTTATTAGACCTTCTTGTATATTAGGTGCCCATCATTTGTGGGACACAACACCAATCCTTATTGGTGCAGTTTCATTGACATCACTGGGACTACTTGAACATTTACCTCAATATGATTGCCCACTATCTCAGACACATGTCAAAATTATCATAAAATTCTCCACCACTCCCACAGCCTAGTTTTAAGATTATAAGTCTGCCTCTTTGTATTTGCTAGACAGGTAACTACATATTAAAATGGTTTGGGGTAAGAATCTGATACTTAACTTGCAGGGGAGAAAAAGGGGAAAAAAAAAAAAAAAAAAAAAAAAGCTTCATTAACAACAGAGATTTAGAAAGATCTTGTTGTCGGTTTGTAACAGTATTATACATGTTCTTGAAATGCTGTTGTAAATCCAGTGTGATATCAGTTTCTTTTCTATTGAAAACAAATTATTGTTGTCGCTCCAGTGTGTTTCCTAGTCAGGACTGTGGCAAAGTGTTTTTAAGAGCTTGAGAAGGATTCTGCTGGCACGTTCATGTTACATTGTATATTATATGTTTGTTTGTCCTAGGAAAACCTTCCTCCTACAGGAGACCATGATGTGAAAGTACAAGTCAGAGCCTGTGCGCTGAGCTGGATAGACACAAAGGTATTTGCTTACTTTTTTTTTGTAAAAGCCAGAAGTGTTTACAGTTTCCATTGGAGTTCTAAGCCCATGCCTTAGCTGGTAACTGGCACAATTCCATGCGTGCCATCTGAGGATATGGCTTTACTGCTGAGAAACAAGGGGCGGGATTGATGTGGTGTTCTTATACGTCTCTTTAAGTAAAAGGCACCTGAATTTGTTTACTGATTTATGGGGAAAGATCACAGTTTTCATTTGAGTTCTTACAGTAAAACCCTTTTATCATCCCCTGCATACTGACTTTAAGTCCCAGTTTGGCTTGTCAGCTGATGGCTCCATTTTTATTTCTTTGCCTTTATACACTTCTAAATTTAAATGCAGAAATAAAGTTTTTAATATTAAATGAGGAATGTGTGTGCTTCT